TCTTGGAGAGCTTCTTGCATTTCTTCAAGAGAATAAGAACCGGTAGAAGAATTACATACCTCTTGGTTTTCGTCGTTGGCGGACTCCTCTTCTTCTTGAGCTATGAGACAAAGGTTTGCTTCCTCGTCTTCCTCTTGCTCGCTTGACTCATCGCCGGAGTCGCCACCCCAAGAGATGTATGCTCTTTGCTTTTTGAAGTGACGAGCATTCCTTCCGTTTCTTGGGCATTTGTTCTTGATGTGCCCGGCTTCACCACATCCATAGCACACAGGGCCATCCTCAGCCTTCTCTTTCTTTAGAAGTTTGCAAAACTTCTTCATGATGAGCTTGACTTCATCTTCGTCGCTTGAGTCATTCATTGTCGGTTCTTTGGAGGCTTTTAATGCTATGCCTTTTCTCTGGTCATTCAAAGACGGATTAAGTATAGTAGATTCATATATTTTTAAGTTACCTCTTAAACTGTCGATGGTGACATTTGATGTGCCGATTGACTCATAGATGGCATCGGCCTTAGATCGCCATTCGGATGTTAAGCTTCGTAGGATCTTTCGCACAAGATCCCTGTCGGTGTAAGTCTTCTTTAATGCATGAAGATCGTTGACTATCTTAGAAAAGCGAACGGACATGTCGTCGATCTTTTCATGCTCCTTCATCCTAAACATCTCATACTCTTGGGTGAGGAAGTCGACCTTGGCTTCACGTACTTGGTCCGTTCCTTCGTACGTCACCTCTAACTTATCCCACATCTCCTTGGCGGTTGAGCAGCAGGAAATCTTGCGGTAGTCATCAGGATTTACGGCACAATAAAGCATGTTTATTGCCTTTGCATAGTTCTCGACCTTTTTGATGTCCTCGGCATCAAACTCGTCTTCGGTCTTGGGGATCAACTTGTCTCCAACTTTCTTCATTGGCACCTCTTCCCCGTTTTTGATAACCAACCATAATTGGAAGTTCGTGGAACGAATATAGATTCTCATTCGTTCATTCCAATATGTATAGTTGGTTCCATCAAAAAGAGGTGGTCGTGTGGTTGATTGTCCTTCACCTATTCCTGCGTACAAATTTCTAGAAGAAGAACCCATGATCGCTTTACTCTCAAACGGTTAAGTTTGGACGCGAGTTAGGCTTTGATACCAATTGTTAGAATAAGTAACCAACGCTAGAGGGGGGGGTGAATAGCGTTTGATCGTAGAAATCGCAGGAATAAAAAAATTAAGAACGTGAAAAGTAAAGAGCGTAGAAAGCGTAAAGGGAGCACACCAAGATTTATACTGGTTCACCACAACGTGTGGCTAATCCAGTCTCCCGAGAGACTCTCTCGAGCTACACTACTTCCGTTAAGCTTACGCGTGCTTAACAAACCGTTACAACCTGAGAACTCAAGTCCCACGAGCCTCAACAACCTTGCTCGGAGATACCGCACTCCAAGACTTCAACCCGAAGGAAAATACCTTTCCTTCGTACAACCAAGGGAAACAAGCTTCCCTTAACGTGTATACAACACTAATACACTCAAGAACAAGACTCTCCTTAAGAGTAGATATTGAGTAAACTATATACGCTCAAGAACAACTCAAACTTCACAAATTGGCTCTAGAAAGCTATGAAAAATGATGTTGTTTGAATGCAATGATAATATGAATATTGTGAAGTGAATTTGGTTGGAAAAGCAGACCGAAACACCCCTTTTTATAGTGCCAAAGTAGGCTCCAACGGATCAAAACATTTAAGGGATGATTGGCTTGATTTATGGGATTGATTAAATTTGGGATCTGCAGGATATTGGCTTCCCATCGATGTTTGGAACTTACCCATCGCTGGTAAGCCAACTTTCCTTCAGTTTTGAAGCCAACGGTTACCTACCCATCGATGGGTAGATGCTTCCCATCGCTGGGTGGGAGGTTGACTTTCAAAAAAGGAAAGAATCAGCCTTAAATGACTCGCAACGGTCATGCCTAACCATCGATGGTTTAGCCTTCCCATCGCTGGGTTCCCATCGATGGGTAAAGCTTCCCATCGCTGGGTAAGGGCATTCTGCCTTGTGGTAATGTTGCACCAAGGCTTTAACATCGATGGGTAGAACTTCCCATCGCTGTTTGGCATGGTTCTGAAAATTGGTTTGGCTAAGGGACTGCTTACCCATCGATGGGAAGATCTTCCCATCGCTGGGTGACATGATTCTGGAATCCCGGGATCACTTACCCATGCATGGGTGAAATCTACCATCGCTGGGTAGATGGCTAGCCCAGAACCATGGCCTAGCTAACCGGCGCTGAAACCCGACCGAAAATGCAAAGTTCTCCAAAGTAAAAACTAAGTATTTAAAACACTTATTTAATGTATTTTGATGTCAAAACTAGCTTTGTAAGTTGAAAACCATGTCGTTAAGGTAAAAACCACGGTTGACCAAGTCAACACCGTACACGGGTGGTTTTCACCAAAAGACAAAACCGAAAGGTGGTTTTCATGATGTTTTGATTGGGGAACCATTTAAATGCATCCAAAAACAATTCCCAAACAAAAATACTTGAAAACCACTTCATTTAAGTAAAAACCACGGCTAGCCAAGTTTATGCCGTTTCGCGTGGTTTTTATCAAACGACAAAAAACGAAAGGTGGTTTTTGAAGTGTTTTTGATGAAAAACTATTTAAATGTGCCCAGAAGTAAAAACCAGTCATAAAAAGTTGAAAACCACTTGGTTAGTTCAGACGCCAAAAACCAACGCCGAAAACCGAATGCCGAATGCCGGTTTCTGAAACCCGAACGCCGGATGGCTTGATTTTTGGTTTGGGCGAACACCAAGTGTTGTTAATGTTTTAAACATGATTGAAAAACATTTTTATGATGTGTGAAATGCAATGAAAAGAATTTTGGCCTAAAGAGCCAAGGTGTAAAGGTTGGGTCGGTCTTGATCACAATTATGACCGACTCAACAACACTAAGACAACGGTCTTCGTTTTTGGTCTTCTTTTGGGTCTTGTTCTCTTGCTTTCTTCTTATATTTATTTCTCGCCTTGTATATTCAATAACTTGTCTCGTTCACGGCGGTTTGGCATTATCAAAACTTGTCATAAAAACGAACACGGCTTTAGTACGAAAACACGATAAACCCGTGTTTCAACATGCCCTTGACGGTGGTGCGGAAGCGATGTTCCAGTTGCATCGCCCGGGCGTGCTTGTTGTCGTGGAAGAGATTGTAGATGGCCTTCCATAGTGCATGAGCGGAGAGATTGTTGGCGAGAACGAGATCAGAAACCTCATCCGTAATGGTTGAGAGGATCCACCCTTGAATGAGTGCATCAAATTGGTACCATTCGGCGTCATCTGCAGAAGAGGCGATGGTGGTGCCGTCGATGAAGCCTTTGAGATTGAAACGGAGAATCAAGAGACGAAACAAGCGACTCCACTTTTTGTAATTTGGCTCCGATAAACTCAGTTGTACGGGGATGTGAAGTTTGATATTTGATATAGTTGTGAAGGCGAGGTGAGGAGAGTTGTTGGAGGAAGAGGTGTCGGAGGTTGAAATAGCCTTGCCGGAGGAAGGATTTTTGTCGGCCATGGTTGCCTAGGGAAGAAGCCGATCGGCAGTAGGGATGGGGGAAGGGATTTCCGATCGTGAGAGAGAAAGGGAGAAGACAGAAGCCAATTAGGGCTCTGATACCATGTAGAAGGAATATTTTCCAATAGAATATTATGGGAGATTACATGTGTTTATATACAGGAGTTTCCTAATGACAATAGGAAACTGTAATTAATGCACCCTATACAAATATGGTAGCTACCAATATACAATAATATTAAATATAATATTAACATATTTAACAATATATATATATATATGGATAAAGGAAGAAAAGAAACATACCGATTTTGAGATTGTGTGTGTGTGTGTGTGTGTGTGTGTATATATATATATATATATATATTTATATATGGATTTCAATCGGAAAAAAAGGAGAGAACCAAGCTACGAACACGAGAGAGAGAGATGCTGTGGAACAACCGTTGTTTGCCGCCGGGATCTTCGGACAGGAAGAAGGTCAGTCGTTGTCGCACCACCATTGATCGTGGTCACTAGAAAAATAGCCGCCATCGTCCTCCATCATATTCGCCGATTAATTGGTGAAGTCTTTATAATTCATCTTCAAGTAATCGAGGTGAGTACATGGGCATCAAACGCTAAATTATTCATATAAGTTTAAAAGTCACGTTCGTAATCTTGTATGATTGATTATGTGATCTATTTGGTTATGATTTGAATTATTATTTATTAAAAAAATATATGATGTTCTTGATTGATCGAGGAAGGCTAGGTAGGTTCTCTTACTCCCATTTGCATACTTTATGCGTCAATAACCTTTAAAAACATTATACGTATTGAATGATTTGGAATTGGATCGAACTCTGTTGTTTCCATACATTTCTAACGTTAGAAAATAGCTAGATATAGCCTAACGGTACACAGCTGCCGCCATAAGCTAATTTTCTTATACGGTAATTGTACCCGGACGGTTGGGGGTACCGGACAGACGGTGCCAAGGTACTGCCTTGCCAGGGTACCGTAACAAGTACCGTGTATGACTCTAGCTGCCCTCTTTCTTGTTTTTTGTCATGATTCAAATCCTGGATTTACTTTGAGGTCTTGTGTTGAGTCACAAAATAACATATTTTATTCTCCAAACACTACAAGAAAACTGCCACGGACGATTTCCGTTGCAGAATTTGAAATTCCGTGGCAGATTTAACTTTTGCGACGGATCTGCAACAAAAATGTTCCGTCGCAGAAAAGTTGTGGCAGATTTAAAATCTGCGACGGAATTAAAAATCCGTGGCAGATTTGCGACGGACCTGCAACGGGTTTGTCTTTTTTTGCAACCCCAAGAATCTGCGACGGAAGTGAAAATCCGTGGCAGATTTGCGACAGACATAGCGACGGAAATAGCCGTTGCAGATCTGCAACAAAAACAGGCGACATATTTTGCCGTCGCAGATCACCTGATCACACACACAGATTTTTATTGTTTTTAGGCAGTAGCTATTAAAATGGCGGGCAAAACACATTCAATTTTTCACACACATAATTCTGAATAAGATTTCAATACGAAATAGATAATTCAAAACTAGATTAATACAAACTTCACGTGCAAGTGTAACATAATTCATAATATTGTAAAAACACTAAATATCAAAGTGTTAGTGTCAAATGTCAAAGGTGTCAACAAATCCCGGGCTGCCCTGCCCCTCCCGTTCCATCATCATCGCCTCGTAGAGGAAGGTTACCACCATATAACTTCCTTATCTCCTCCTGAATCGTTAGTTACAAACTCATTCTGTCTAGCCTTTAAGCCCATTCTGTCAAGCCTCCTCACGCAGTTCGAAGAATTGGGCTGCAATATATGAAAGTTAATAACAACGTAACAATAATAGCGTCAAGAACAGCAAGAACAACAACATGAACAGCAACTGAACATCAACAACAACGCAAGAGCAGTGTCATATTGCAACAACAACACCATCAACGCAACAACAAAAGCCGTGTTATATGACAACAACAACACCATCAACGCAACAAGAAAAATAGTGTCATATGACAACAACACCATCAACGCAACAACAAAAATAGTGTCATACGACAACAACACCATCAACGTAACAACAATAATAACAAGACGATTAATAATAACATCAACAACAAGAATAACGTCAACAAAAACAATTCAATTACACAAGAAAGCAAGTACATTATCACCCTTTATAAGTTTTAAGACAAAAACACCAACATTATGAGCATGAACCTAAATTGTTTTGCAAATTACAGAAAGTACCTGTAGCTCAGCATGTCCCGGATCCACCCAAGTCTTTCCGTCGTGCTTCTTTGTCTTTGTGTGGATGGTAACCTCATCCAACGGCACAGGCACCCCTTTCTTCTTACCCTTCAAGTTTCAATGAACATTTCCATTACATTTTAAATTTAGTGTCCACCGAATAACAAGTGCAAATCTATTATTTTATAAAATATATCTTACCAATCGATTCATATTTTCAGAAAATGGAATTGAACCTCCACAGAAGTTTATAAAATATATCTTACCAATCAATTCATATTTTGATCAACCACCAATTCTGTTTGCATCAGTACTCATGCGCGGAGAAAGTTGGAAAACAAATGCTTAAATGTGCATGCCAAGAAAGAACAAAATAGACATCCAGACTGAAACTACACTATTTTTCTGTTGGCAGGTGAACTATAAATCAGATTTAAAGAAGAAACAAAAAATCCAATGATCAAACTCAAGAAGCAGTCAAAGTAGGCAAACCTGTGCTGGATCAGAATCATTGTCCGAAAGCAAGCTCCAAACCATCTCCAAATCCAAATCTCTCTCACTCGGAATTTCCGAGGCCTCAGCTTCTCCGCCGCCAGGCTCTGGCAACTTCTCAGGAGACCAACGCTTAGCGCTCTCATCCGCCATCATCATCGCAATACAAATCAATCAAACATGCAGTGGAATCTACAAAGCCTAGCTCCAAATGCTACTAACACAACTTCCTCAACTTCCCAGCAGTTATTCACCGCCGCGAACCATTTACACAAAAAACATAAAATCGAAAGCTTTACTCTGCTACGAGAAAAAGCTGTGGAGGAGTTACCAATTTCAAGTATCTTCTCTAATAAAACCACAAACAACAATCATTTAACTACATATATCACAAAATTCAACTAAATTTTACTTAAATTCTCAATAAACGTCAAATTAACTAACACAATTTCAACAAAAATTACAGCTTAAGTGCTATCAATTTCACAAAAAAACTAATGGAATTTTTACCCAATTTCATATCAATTTAAACTCATATTCACACAATTTCAACTAAATTTCATAAAAAATGCACTAAGTTTCACACAAACAAATTCAATTTCACAAAAAATTAAAATAATAATAAATTGTATAAAATTAAACTAAAATACCTTGAGAGGAAGAGGAGGTCAGGTGGGGGAAGATGGCGGTCGAGACACTGGCGGTGGCGGCGAGGAGGGAGGGAGACACTGGCGGCGGCGGCGGCGAGGAGGGAGGGAGACACTGGCTGTCGAAGGCGAGGCGAGGAGGGAGACACTGGCTGCGCGGTCGACGGCGAGGCAAGGAGGACGAGTGCCACGACGTCAACAAATCGTGCGACGGTGGCCGGTGGTCTAGGAAAGCCGCGGAGGAGATGTGTCGGTCGAAGTTGGGTGGACGGAATATGGCTGGGTCTGGATGTCTAGATCTGTGAACTGATTTCGTCTACAGATCTAAAAGAGGATAACTCGATTTTAATTAATTATCTGCAACGGAAATAAGTCCGTTGCAGATTCCGTTGCAGATTACACGAAATGTTTACCTCACTTTATTCCGTAGCAGATCTGCGACAAAAACAAAAGTTCCGTCGCAGATAATGTTCCTTTTTCAGAAATTATTACTGCGTCGCAGATTCGTTGCAGATCTGCTACGGATATGTGTCAGTAGAAGATTTTCGTTGTAGACCAGATAAATTCTTGTAGTGAAAAAATTACTGCCGGGTACCCTCAATTTTGTGATAAGAACTGCCAGGTTCCATTATTTTTCTAAATATACTCCGAGGTACCTTAAATTATCTGAAAAATTACTAGTGGAGGACATTCCATCCATGCCTCCGTTAGTTTCTCTATTTGTTATCTTTTTCTTCTTCTTTCCTGTTTCTTTCTCTCTTTTTTTCTCTCTTTCTTGTACTAGCCCCCCCCCTCCCACCTTCCCAATCCCCATCAGAGACCAGCGCCCCTCCTCCCCATTTTTAGAAAGAGACTAGTACTATATTTTTTTTAGAAAAACAGCAATATTTATTATTATTATTATTATTATTATTATTATTATTATTATTATTATTATTATTATTATTATTATTATTATTATTATTATTATTATTATTATTATAAGTTTCTCCATATTATTTTTATTTATTATTATTACTATTATTATTAGAATTAGTTATTATAAAAATAGCATTGATTTTTATTTAGGAAAATAGCACTTGTTATAAAAAACACTTATTATTAATATTATTATTTATTAAAATAAAATAATAAGTAATTTTAGTACTTTACTCTTTTATAAAAATAACAATACTTTTTAGTATTACTTTGTATTAATTATTATATACTTCTATTTTTTTAATTTATTATTCTTATTAAAAGTTAATTAGTAGTTTTCTTACACTATTTTTTAAGTAAAACAATACTAATTATTATTATTTAAATTAAAACTTATTACTATTATAATTAAAAACAATTACTAGTACTTTTACGATTCTAATACAATAACTAATAATAATAAAATAATAATAATAATAATAATAATAATAATAATAATAATAATAATAATCCTTTATATATAATATTTGGGAGTTAAACTCCCAGAAATTCGACATGTGGCAGGCTACTTGGCAATTTTTTTACACATCATCAGCCACATTTGATGACTTAAGTGACTTGGCAATTTCAACTTAAAGTATGAAAACATCTTATTAGAGCAAATATTCATTCCCAATTATTGCACATATGAAAAACGTTTACGAGGTATATGTAAAGTAATTATTATTAGGAGGTTAACAACAACAACAACAACCCAGTTGGATCCCACTACAGTAGGGTCTGGGGAGGGTGTGTGTACGCAGACCTTGCCCCTACTCGGAAGCAGGGAGGCTGTTTCCAAGAGACCCCCGGCTCAACCTGCACAATTATTACGAGGTTATAAATGTTAATTATAAAAAACTTTCAATTAATTGCTAATGACATTTATTGGCTAATCCTTCCTTTTATTATAAAATTTGAGACTCTGGCTTACATGATATTGGCATGTCACGAGCTAATATGACATTTTTAATAAATCATCTGTTGTCTATTTATTATTTTAATGAGTTGGTAATTTTAATCAACATACGGAGTACTAATTTGACATTATTTTATTTTATTTTATTTTTTATTGATTGAACATAGTGACTAAATTAATTGTCTTTTTAGTTTCATGCAGTTAATCTTTAGAATTAGTAACTCTATTGTTTTTAACATCCGGTTCATTTTTTGAATGATATGTTTGACCAATGAAATTTTTTATCAAACATATTTTTTATTTTGAGATTATAGTCTAATTTTTAATATTTCAATTTATTATATATTTATATAAATAATTATTCAAACATTTGACAGCAAAGCGAACTGAGACAATTAATGAATAAAGTTTTTAGAATTATTTAAACGTAACATACCAATTTATTTACCATATATACGTATAGGGGGGGGGTAAAGAACACTTTCTATTTTTGGATTTAGAATTACTCCCTCCGTCCCCTTAAGATCTTCTCATTTTGACTTTTTGTGATTTTTAAGGAGAGTTGAAAAAATGTAAAAGTTTACCATAATACCCTTAATGAAAATGGGTGGAGTGTATTAAATGAGGTTGGTGAGGTGTAATAAATAAAGTAATTGGGGATAGTTGTGGTATATATTTTAATTGTTAAAAAAGGTAATGAGAAGATCTATGGTGGACAAATAAAAAGGTTAATGAGAAGATCTATGAGGGACAGAGGGAGTATATTTTTGCCTAAAAAAGTGATTTAGATTCATCCATTTTTATGAAATAATTAATTATGCACCTACTTCTCTGAATGAATTTTATTAATTTTATATTTAGGTTAGTGGTCTTATGGTAAACAAAAAGAATGGATTCGGTTGCTACATATCTTGAAAAAAAATGACCATGTTAAAACTCCTCATTGTATAAGTAGATTTAATCTTCTCATTTAACTTTTAACACTCTCCAATATAATATTTTGATCATTAATATCAATATTTATACTTATCGTATCTTATGAAAATTCATATTTCAAAACAACATTTTAAAAAAGATTATTGGTATTGCATTTATAGATAAACAAAAATTGTTTTTTCATATACCGAGGCCAATCTTTATCTTTATATATTAAATTTAAGAGTTAAACTCATAGAATTACAATAAGTGGTGAGTCTACATGGCAACATTTTAACAAATCGTCCGCCACCTATACGGATTACGAAGTGCCACTATAATTATTTGGGGAAAAAAACTAAAATAAGATTAGAATATGGAGAAAGTGCCAAAATAGGAGTTTCTTATTTTTTATCTCCAAAATATTAAGTACAATACCAATATTTTATTATATAGTGCTAAAAACATTATGAAATGGTAATATATAGTGCCACAACGTCACTGTGTAAACTTTATTTAGGAAATAAAAATATTGAACTCTTATTCCGGGCATAAGATTTATGTCTAACTTCTATTTGAGTGATTTTTTTAGTTTTGTTTAGGAAATATATATAGAGTAATATATATGGAGTAATAACTACCAAAAGTTTCCTTCTATACTTATATTACCTTATATATCTTTTTTTATTTTACAAAATCATCATCTTTCCTTCAACTTCTTGGGAACCTCTTTGCATACCTTTCTTTTTTTCTTCTATAGTGTAGATAGGTGAAATTGTAAAAATTATTGTGTAATTGATGATGTACTCACACTTCATTTGGTAAGTTTAAGGGAGGGCATCATTAATTAAGAAGGAAATTGATAGCATTATTTTTTTGGTGAATTATATTATTTTCCATATTCTTTGCGGAGCTTACGAGAACAGATTTCCAATTTTGTTGATCGGAAATCCAACATTTATTATTTAGCTACTAAACATGAAGATATTCCTTTTTTCTATATAACAAGGTTAAAGTATACAAAATTTGACCAAGAAAAGTCAAATGAAAATATTAAATCCGAATGGAGACTAATAAGACCGAGACTAAGTTATAAGTTACAACCACATCAAAGAGAAATATAATTTCAAATTTATAATTATTTGTATTTTGATAAAACATTTTGTACATTGACAAGAATACTATCAAGGGATGAATAATTTTGCATTATAAAAGTGAAAAATAAAAGTTTGCAAATGATCTTATGAGATACTTATCTACGATGAATGAATATGAGCACAATATATACGATGAGATAATGGAAGTTGTGACACCTGAAAGAGGAGATTTCTTTTTTATGTATGGTTATAGTGGAACTGAAAAAATATTTTTTTTATGGAAATTAGTGTTTATTTCTCTAACGTCAAATGATAAGATTGTCTTGAATGTCACATCCAGTGATATTGCAGCATTACTTTTTCATGGGGGAAGAACATGGGTGAATGACATTACACTTGAGATTCTCAATCTCTTTGGGCGATTGCATAACATGTGCCATCAAACAAGAGAATCTGAAAGCAGAACTAATCCAACAAGTCTAATAATATGTGATGGAGCATGTATAATGAATAGATTTATTTTTAAGGTGCTGGATCACAAAATGAGAGATGTAATGAATTTCTCTACTAAAAACTGTAGAAATGAACCGTTTGGAGGGAAAATAGTTGAATTCAGATGGGAAAAAGTAGGACTCGAAGGGAAAATAGTTGTACTCAGAGGTGATTTTTGGCAAACTCTTCCTGTTTTACCCAAAACTTCAAGAGAGAAAATTGTGAGTGCTATCATCTATTCTTTAAGATTATGGTCGTATTTTAAAATTTATATGTTAGCGAAGAATATGATATTACATTCTTCTACGTCCTCTATCCCAGATAGGGGCACACAAATTTTTTCTAATTGGATAATTAAAGTTAGAGATGAAAAATTAGAAAAGTGATTGATGAAACAACTAACCTTAAAATTCTGCACAAATTATTAATTCTAGACACAAGTTATTTTGTGAAGAGTATAGTGGACTTCACTTATCCTAATTGAACCTATTGGAGAGTGAAAATTTATTCATTTTTTAGGATAGGGCACTAGTGGACCATGCTTGAGGTTGTAGAAATGGTAAATGAATTTGTCATATCCCTCATTCCCTAATATGAAATGGTGTGCCTGAGTTTTGATTCTTCATGTCATGCCGATTCGGATGTAATTATTGATAACAATTAAATTTTAAATGAAATCAAATGTTCGGGGATCCAAAACTACAAAATAATCTTAAAAATGGGTTAACGATTTTGATATTGAGAAACATTGACCAAATAAGTGGATTATGTAATGGTACACGATTAATCCTTGAAGAGCTGTGAAAGAATGTTGTTGGTCTATTGTGGTTTTGAGAAATCGAGTCAGCAAAAAGTTTACATACTCCAAATGAAATTGATACCATCTAATCTAGGATTACTCTTGAAGTTATTTATAAGGCAAATCTCAATAGTCTTATATTTTGCAATGATATCAATAAAAGTCAAAGTCAAACATTGTCATTTCTTGCATTACTTTTAACCAAGTTGGTATTCACTCATGGTCAGCTTTATGTTATGGTTCCATGAGTGAAGACAAAAACACAATTAAAAATATTAGTTCTAGATGACAATGATACCCTTGTAACTATATCAAAAAAATTATATACCCTACAGTCTTTCAAAAAGTGTGGTATTGAAAATAACTTGGTTGAATACACATTCAATTCCTCAAATATGGTTTATTCTACTTTGGAATTTTTGTATATAGTATTAAAAATCATAGGGAAATATATTTACTTTATTCTGGGAAAAAATATTGCATTAAAAAAGTTTTAGAACCAATAAAAATTTTGTTCGACCCCGTGCATTGCACGAGTAAAAATACTAGTAATAATAATAATAACAACAATAAGAGAAGAAGAAAAAGAAGAAAAGAAAAATAGAGGAAGAAAAAAAGGGGGAGGGATTTGGGTGGGGGGGGTGCGGTCTCTAATGGGAATTGGGAAGAGAAAAAAAAGAAAGAAAGCGACAAAGAAAGAAAGAAACAAGAAATAAGAAGAAAAAGATAATGGAAATTGAAAGTAACGGAAGCATGGACGGATTGTCATCCCTTAGTAATTTTTCGGATAAATAAGGTACCCTGGAGTATATTTAGAAAAATAATGGGACCTGACAGTTCTTATCACAAAATTGAAGGTGCCCGGCAGCAATTTTTTGTTTTATTCTCTCCTTTCTTAGCACTTTTAAGATACTTTGATGCATTTTATACCGAAATATTAATACTTTCCAATATTTAGCATTTAAGGCTATTGTTTATGTTTTATACATAACATGCAAGATTTTGAGCAAGATTATATTTTACAATTATTTGAAAGTATTATTTTCCTTGACACAATCTTTTTAGATATATACTCCGTGTTTTGGAGCTCAAAAGCAATTAAAGGAATAGAAGGATTGGGCCAAGCCCAGACATCTAATTGGCCATCACCCTTTTGACCCAATTGTTAAGCAAGGAAATAAATAAAAGAAAAAGAAAGAAAGAAACGTAGAAGAGGTAGGAGCCCCAGAATCAACCGGATAGCCTTCTTCTACAACTCCATCTCTAATTTCAAGTCCTAATCCAAATTGAAGACTAAAGCTG